TTAATAATTGAAAATAAAATTTAATATGTATATATGTGTCTATTTTTATAATATATTATTTGATATATTTATATAGTTAAATAATCTATATTTAATTTCTTATATAATGACTATAAGTGTCTTTCAGTTCAATTGGCAAACAATGAGAGTTTAAGGCTTAGAAGGTAAGAGGTCAGGTTCAAATCTTAACTTTGGCATAAATATCATAAATATATGACATGGTAAGGAGCAAGTGATATGGCTAGATGACATGGCGGTTGATAAGATACGAGGTTGTTGGTGACATGTCATAAATTGATGCACACATGACGGGTGATGTGTTATCATTCTTTTTAAATACAGGCATATTTAGCGAGAGATTAAACATAATAAATATATGACATGGTAAAGAGTAAGTGATATAGCTAGATGACATGGCGGTTGACAAGACACGAGATTATTGGTGACATGTCACAAGTTTATGCACATGTGGCGGGTGATGTGTTATCATTATTTTTAAATACAGGCATATTTAGCGAGAGATTAAGCTTCAAGCAGCTATTATTATCCAAAAAACTAGATCTAAGGGACAAAGATCCAAACCAAAGAGCCCTTGAGAAAAGGCAACCAAAGAAAAGATGAGGGATAGTTTCCTCATATTGGCATCTAAAGGTGCACACACAATTGATAGATGAATGATGCCTCTATAGAATATTCTTAGTAGGAATCGCTTCTTGAAAAAGGTTTTAAAGAAAGACAATTTGCTTTGAAGGAGTTTAATCTTCTATATAGAAGACTAAGACACATCAAGGTGTTAATTGCCAATTGCATTCAACATGAGTAAATTTAATCCTTTCCTTGTACTATAGTGACCCAAAGCACATCCTTTCTAAAGAAGTTTATTAGGCTATCATGAAAAGGAGATAAAAATGAAGGAAATTGTTATGGCATCCTGTAGGGGGTAGAGTTACTACAATGCATTCATATCCCACTGTAATGAAAACTAACGAGAGTTTGTTGGGGTAATCGAATCTGAAATAGTTAGGTTTCCAGAGTTACGAATGTTTGGGAGAGATCCTTCCCAAAATATATTAAAGACTTTGATCACTCCCCTTAAGCCAATATTTCACTTTTGTTTATCAATGATAATTCTAAAGTAGCTAAAGATGCTTATCCATAGCTATGAAGAATTATAAGATTGTTTGATCAATGCAAGAAAATTGATGTCCACATACTTCCTTTAAGAGTAAAACAGATCAATGAAACATCTTGAGACTGAATAAACCATCATATCTATTTAACTAGAAGACTCTTATTGACCAAATGGATAGACCTTAATCCCATGCCTCCAAAATGCTGGGTAGGAAGAGTAGTTCCTTTTAGCCAAGTGCATCTATGTCTTTCCATCTTAGATTCTGAAAAAAAAAAAAACTCAACACATTTAGCATCAATTCTATTGCTGATTGACATTGGCAACTAATATTTGCTGCAAATAGAACAAATTTAATAAGAGTTAACCTTGATGCTTGAAAGAAAGTTGAAATTTTCCACGAGGTTAGCCATTTATCAATTGCTTCTATCATTTGGAAATACAAAGCAAACTTGTCCCTCCCTAAATCCATCCACATTCCAAGATAATTCCCAATTCTGTCAATTAAAGGGATGTCCAGGAAGTTTGCTTAATCTTCTTTAAGAATGCGGCTAATATTAGGACTCAAAATGAGTGAGGACTTGGCATGATTAATCTCTTAACCAATAGCAAGTGGCAACAATAATCTTTACAGCTTCTAAGTTCCTTCTTATGCATTCAAAAAATAATATAAAAACATCTTCATAAAGAAGATGTGAAATTGCATAGAAAATTGACATACTTTGGTTTTAATATGTAATTCAAAAATTAGACAAAATTTTTAACATCATGGATAATATAGTTAAGAAATAAGTTAGTAGTCTAGTTCTTAACTTTCTATGTATTGACTCGTGAAAATCACATTATGTATATCTTGAGGTAATCATAGATAGAAAAGGCACAAATGATATGATAGATAAGACTTACATAAGATCATCAATATTACAAATATAAGAAGTTATGATTTATTTGTATAATTGAGAAAACTTATCTATAATGCATTGTGTTAAATGAATGTAATTAAGAACATTACACTAGAAATGAGTATTGAAACAATCATACATGAGCCTACAGTTGAATCTATCAATTCCAGCTTTTGTTCTCTTAATTCCTCAACTTATTACCTATCATCCATTGGTTTTCTCTTATTGATATCTTACTTATAATCATAATTTTGTCTCTACATTTCTTACATGTGATATCAGAACTCGACTTCATCCAAAACTTTTTTGAAAATGTACTTGACCATAATTTCATGGCATTTGATAGTTATCAAATGATATAGTAATATAGGTTTAGTAGTTCTTACAAGTGGTATAAGAGGAAAATTTCATATTTTTTATTCAACTATTAGACTTTATATAGTTAAATTTGGTATCGATGTATATTTATATGCATAAAGTCAAAAAATACACAAATCAAGCTTAAGGTTGAGTTAAATTTTATTTTATTTCACTTTTAATCACCAATTTGGTCTCTCTCTCTCCTGTCTTCTTATTTTCTTTATATGGTATTAGAGTCTTAAAATTTATAGTTAAAAATTAGTGTCTTATAGCGAATAATTCACCGTGTCATTACTTATTTTGTGTTTGTATTATTTGTAATCAAGGTGTCTCTAAATTTTTTATAAGTGCTATCAAAGTCAAGAGATTTTTTTTAGAGCTTTTATGAAGATGTTGAAAACTTATAATTTTTAAACATTCAAAGCAAAAAAAAATAAAACTTTCCTTTGTTATAATATTAGAGACTTGCATATATCACACCATTTTTAAAGCTTGAAATGAAATTGGATCAAGTTTAATAAAGATTGGTTTTTGTGACATTTCAATATGTGGAAACTAATGAAATGATACTTAATGGGGATAAAAAATTTTAAGTATACAAATATCATTACTAGTACTAACAGCACAACACAAAGTACAAATCCATCCTTTGCCATTGAAGCATGTAATTTAGAAGCTTTCAAATTGCCAATGTCATGAGTAATATAACTAAGAAAAAATTTAATAGTCTGGTCCTCAAATATTTAGGTATTGACTTGTGAAATCATGTTATGTATATCTTGTGTTAAATGATATGAGATATAAGACTTACACAAGAGTATCAATATTACAAATAGAAGACACTTATGATTTACTTGCATAATAGTGAAAACATGTGTATATTGTATCATTGTGTTAAATGAATGTAATTGAGAATTTACAATGGAAATGAGTGTTGCAAAATCCTACAAGACTTGTGATTAAATCTATCAATTCCATTGTTTCTTTATTAATGTAAAAGCAAAAGCATATCATGATATTGAATAATACGTAATTTCCAGGGTGCTTGAATTTACATGATTGGGAAGAATATGAGAAAATCTAAATTTAATAACCAAAAGCATTTGATAAGGAGAAATTACCTCAAATAGCATACAAACTTTCATTTTATTTCAAAGGCTACACTAGTCACCAATTTAAAGATATTATATGAAATTATTTTTTCATCTAAATGCAATATATATTAGTTTCATCTTTGGTATTTGTAAACGTCAATAACACACTTTTAGTTGAATTGATTTCATAAATGATATTAAGATTTAGCATGGCCAAAACTGTATATGAATTATGGTTCTATATCTACATTTAATCACAAATCAAATATGCATAAAAGTCAAAAAGCACAATTAAAAGCTAAAAAAATTTTCACCTCATCACTCATCTATTTTGTCCATAGTATATCTGTTCATGCAAGTGGTATCAAAGACTCTTAAAGTTTTGGGTTCATAATTTTGCTTGTCAATTCAAGTAATTGATCAGCCGATTATCCATTATATATTAACTCTTATTTGATATTTCACTTCTGATTCAAAGTTCTATCCCCACATTTCTTACAAGTATTATCAAAGCTAAATTTCTTTCGTAACTTACGTGAAAATGTTGTTGGTAGCCTATAATTGCATAACGTTAACTACAGTTATCTTATGATATAGTATTATATGCTTAGCATTTCTTAGAAGTAGTATCAGATAAGGTTTTTTATTTCAATTTTATTAGACTTTATATAGTTAAATTTGGTGTTGATTTATATTATATGTATAAAATTAAAATCCATAAGCTCTAGCTTTAACACTACTTTTGAAAGATATTGGATGAGCCAGAATGAAGTGAAATAGCTATAAAACTTATACTATTATTTGAGTTTAAAAAAAAAAGAAGAAGATGAAGATGAAATGACAAGCAAAGGCCTCTAAAGCCCTCACTTGTCATCCATGGCTCGATTTTTATCCCCCCAAATTAAGAAGTCAAGAATGAAATAATATAATATAATTATTTTATTTATAAAATTATCCCAACCTCCTATCTAATAAAAAAAAGATCTCATTTGAACTTTTCCTCCTAACAAAGCATCAAAGATTAAATTCTTAAGAATAGCCAAAAGGGCAACTACTATTGAATTGGCATTCAAAATATAAATCATTTTATCAAATTGCCTCGTGCATCTCTGATAAGATCCTGTATTATCTTTTCGAGCAGAGTATCTTGTCCAATGGTGCAAATTTTGACCCCGCATGCTAGTTAAAAAAAATTATGACCCTAGTTATGACCCATGACCCCAGATCCAGGCCATTTCATTTCCCTATTTTTAGCCTGGCATGATCAACAGTTTCTGCTTTAATTGAAGATGCTAGAAAGTAGACCTCTCGTTAATCTAGTCAAAACACTAATTCAAAAATTAATAATTAAAAATATAATTAAATTGTGATCAAATCATTCATAAACAAAATATTTTAATACTATTAATACGTTATCAAGAAAATTTTATTTACCAGAAATAGAATCCTGTGTTCTTCATCATCGACAGACCCACCTCTATCTACGAAATAAACATTCAAAATCCGATCTCAAAATTTCAGTAAATTAAAATCTTTTCATTTATAGAATACCGAAGACTCAACAAACATTCTATGCAGAAATTAGATAGCTCTTCACATAAGAAGATTCTGAGTTCAGGACAGACCGTAAAGCAACAGTTCTTAATCAAACTATCAAACTACATTGCTAAATGTCAAAAAGCCAAAAATCACAACGCCTTAAAATTCCTCCAAATGCGATGAGATATGTCCCCACAGCCTTCAGCGGTACTGCCATCAAGAAGTGTTTAAATTTCGTTAATATTGTCAGCATCAAGTTTAAAATAAATATCTGTACTATTATTAAAATATTCACAAATCCTGTACAGTAACATTTTATTTTTGTAGAGATGAGAACCTAGTAATTTTTTATTAAAAAAATAATCATTTGGTCCTTATAACTTCAATCCACAATCCAGTTGAAACTCAACCTTTGAGCTTTAATTCTTACAACTCTTTCTATGATTTTATTGATTTAAAATTTTGTTACTTACGCTTTAGAAAATAAATTACTAAAAATAAAGTTATTCTTAAATTAGGGACTAAATTTTAAATGAAAAACTCTATAAAAACGAAGTTTCACAGAGTTGAAATTCAATGACTGAGTTGCTTTGAGTTAAAATTATGGGAATGAATTGCATCAAGTTGAAATCTAGAGACCGAGTTACAATCAAATCACAAGCATAAAGACCAAATGATGAATTTTTCCTTTCTATTTTTACCATAAACCTAGTTGAAATTCAAAAACAAGATATGGCAAGTAATATAAGAATATAAGACTAAACTATTCTTCTAATTACTAGATGTGGGAATTCTATAATCTCTAATATGTAGAAGATTGCGTAATCCATAAATTCCTATATACCTTAATGAAGCCAATTTCCTTGGCGTTGCTTCGGAAGCACTGGCGGCAACACATAAGCCCATACTTCCTAATCAACCCATGAGGGTTACCACACACCCGGCTGGAAAAACACAAGCAAAATTACAGTCATAATGTTCATCACCACCATTCAATGTTGGATCAAGATAAAAGCCAAATGGACCCAATAACATACTAATGACAAGTTCAGGCATATCAGTAAGATAATACAACTTCACATGCAAATGATGCACAACTTCAGTTCTAAACAAAATGACTGGCCTCCAATGCAACATCTTCGATGTTTTACAATGTAAAAGGCCATAAACACCACAAAACGTAGAACCCGTGGATAGTAAAACAAAGAATTTAACCAATTAATAATTGATAAAAAGAATACAGTAGCAATTTTATCACTGCATCATTGGGTCAAATTTAGTCTCTAAAAGCGGCGAATGCACAAGCTAACCCTAGAAATTCACAAACTCGCTGAAAGTTACCATCTATGAAGTTATTGAATCACTTGATAGAAGTCATCGAGAAGCAGTTTCTTATTTTCATGGTCCAAATACAAATGAATCTCATTAGTAGGAGATCAAAATTTAGTTTAGTCTTTAAAAATAGACAAAATCACCGAGCACATTATGCAATTTAATCATATGATTGATGATTGATTGCGAAGATTATTATTTCACCGGCTCAAACGACAAAGGGCTTTAACAATATTATTCCTGAAAAAAAAAAATCCAATCACTAAGATACCGGTAATCACAAACACGAAAAAACGATTCAGCCACCATATTGTGGCTCAGAGAAAACGACACAAATCTATCATGCGGATCAAACCAGTTTACCACAGAAATATGTATTCGCCGGAAAATTAAAAGCGAAGCAGCAAGATTACCAGGTGCGAGAACCAGGACCGTAGTTCTTAGGGTGGGAATTCCACACGTTGGAGTGACCCATCTTCAGCTGCACAAAGAATTTCTCCTTCTGCTGCCAACGCTCGCGGCTGCTGATAAATGGACGTGGAGGGAATTCGGAGGACGATATCAGTCTTATATATACCACGTGAAAACCCTAATCACAATCTTTCATTTCAAGGGCGTCGCATTAGGAGGTTATGTATGACCCGATCCGACCCAGAATGAAATGGGCAGGGTTAAACGTACGATATTTTACTATCAAAACACAAAAGCACTCTCTCTGTCCTGTATATAAAAAAAAAATTAAAATTTTTTTATCCCAAATATAAAGAGTTGTTAGCATATCTTTTAATAAATGAATATATCCTTATTGAATTAAAAAGAGAAAAAAATAAATACTCTTATTAATTTTCTTTGAAAAAAGATATTCATTTTTTATTTATGATAATTAAGAACAAAATTAAAATATTGTTATGCTTTTAATTAAATAATTAAATTGTATTAATTTATATAATTTAATTAAAAATATTTTATATATAGAAATTAAGGGAGTAAGTCTGATTAAGTCTAATTTTTCTGAGAGACACACTAGGTATCTTTACCTTTTAATTAGAGTAATATTACTCAAAACTTTAAAAAAAATGCAATGTCGTTCCAACGTTAATTTTATCTATTAAATAACTTAATTTGACTAACAAATACTACATGGCATTTAAAAAAAATAAAGAAATGTATCATCTCTTTCTTTCATCTCGTCCACTGTTACTCCACTCTTGATTGCACAAGGTCTTGTTCATCCATTAGTGATCCATCATAACCAAATAACATACCTAAAAGCTCAAGTCTCTTTTTTCCCCTTGCGGTGCAGCTCATATGCCCCTGCAAGATCATTTCCCCGAAGAACAAGCAAGCACGCTCAAGTTTTTCACTTTTATACATACCAGCTATCATTAAAAAGATTGCATTCATCTTTAAGCCTGCCAACTTTGCCAAAAATGAATATCAATGAGGAATAAAAGTATAGATTGTCTGATAATCTATGCTTTAAATTTGATTTGGCACTATAGTTTTCTTGAGAAATTTTCAAGTTTTTACTAACTTTCAACCTTATAAATATTCCATCAAAAATATATCAACCATTTAAAGCATTTGCTCATGTATTAAAAAAAAATGAAGGCTGCAATAAACATATCAAGTTGCCAAAGATTGACATAGATCTTACAAACAAGTTGCCAAAGAAGCCGCAAACACTTCCAATATTTGGGCCATCATTGAAAGAGATGATCAAGAGAGAGCAAGATCTGGATCATCACCCTCTTCCTTCATCCTCTTCCCCATTCTCGACTCTTCACTAGCCATTGAGAGAGAGAATCCCAATTCGAGGCTCTCATCATCTTGTAGATTCAAATCCCCAATCTCAATTCCACATCCTGACTACCTATTTTGCCGAAGCTCATCTGTGATGTTTTTTTTTTTTGGCCAGTGTGTTCAAACTCATACCATTAAACTGGCCACTTATGGATTTTTCAATCAAAATGAGTTATTTGATGATTAAAATGGATGAAAGTTATATTAGGACAACATTGTACCCTTTTTAAAAGTTTTAGAGCAACATTGCTCCAACTAAAAGGTTAAAATATCCAGTGCTCTTTTCAAAAAACTTCCGAAGCATTTTTGCCCTTAATCCTAATAAAAATTTGATCTATAGCTCACAAGTTGTGAAATCAAATTTTTCTGTCAATGTAGAGATTTTATCAGTGGGTGACTAAACCAATCTCTATGGGCAATATTTTTTCTAGTCTGTTATAAGATGTTTTAGAAATTGAGAAAATTTGTAATATGTATTATTTGTTCAAAACTCAAAAGTACCCAAAAACCTTTATATGTCGTTTTGTTTTTGGCCTGACCTTTATGTGTCATTTAGATGTCCAAAAAAATCATTTTATATTTTAACACAATACTTTATAAATTGAACGAACATTATATTCGAAAGACAATTAATTCATGTGTGACTGAAGGGAGTATAATTTTTACTACCTTCATTTTAAATGTAAAGTTATTTTTAGAAGTTCTAGATTTCAATATGTAAGGTATTTATGAAATTTTGATTATAATGAATTTCTTCTTGAAATTTATCAAATTTTTTGTCTCCTATTAAAATTTAATTGAATGATTAGTATTAAAACATAACAGAATCAAAAAGAACTTTTGGTTTTTAGTATCTATGCATTAAATAAAAAGGGAGAATGATCCATCCTAAAAGAGAAAATTAACGATAATTAGGTTTCCAAATTTTTTTAAAAAAATTACTTTTAAATATTTATTCAAACAATTACAAATTAAAAAGTTTTGATTATAAATATAATTTAAATTTTTAATATAACAATTAGGTTTGCAATTTGGAGAAAATCATTAATTCATCATGTAGATTTTTATTTGTAACTGTTTGAATTTATATTTATAATTTATTTTATAAAAAGTGTTTAAAAGTTTGAAAAAAAAATGAAACAAAATGGAAGAATTGCTTGGTAAGAGTAAACATGATATTTATATTGATATAAAAGAAAGTACATAAAATATAAGATCGAAAAGTTAAAGTAAAAAAAAAAAAAAAACATTAGAGTGGTGATGTTACTATTCTTCCTCGTACCGTGGGTCTAGTGGATGGTTTCTCGTATAGGTTTTCTGATTTAAAGAGAACTACATCTGACTTGCTAAAAAAGAAGGTATCAAGTTTAATCAGACCAAGTATTGAATTGATCGTAGCGTTGGAGAGAGTCTCATGTGTGTCTTGCTTCCCCTTTATGAGCAAGAGATGGTAGTTTTCTCATAGCTCCACATTTTTTTAGGGCCATTAATAGCAATTATTCCTAAATCTCTTTTACTTCCACCTTTGCAGCGATGCATTGGGTGGCCAACTCTCCTCATCAACCACTTTTTTTTTAAGCATTAGTTGAGCTTGAGCCAAAAATAATATTTTAACCCGAATTATTATTATTATTTTCAATATATCCTCATAACCTATAGTCATAAAACTAATCCTTTAAAAATTTAAGTGTCATTTAAAAAGTTTTCTTTCCTTAACGATAACCTCCATATACACCTCAAAAATATGACATTTAACTTCCTTTGTTCTAAATACTTGAGGGTCAAGACAAAATTATATTTTAGTTCAAACACATTTATACATGCATGCATTCCAAAGCTTAGAGTCATACACAGTTTCCAGCTTCCGAGCTTTCTTTGTAATACCCTCAATTACATATAGTTAATTAGCATCAAATAATTTGACTTTGTAAAAAATTTTCACGCCATTTATCAGTGGCATAAAAATTTGGCAGGAAAATAAATCTTTTTTTAACTCATAAACAACCAACTTGTTATTGAAAATTTTCCAAATATTGGTAGGCCCATGTAGGTTTGAGGCTCTACAATTAGTATAACCCAACAAACGGACAACCCATAAGGCCCAAAACTTTTATCATAACTCTCACAGTCATGCAAACATATCACACATACGGAATCACATATTTATATTGGCCCAAAAAATCACATATTTGTAAAATCATATTTTATGGGATTTCAATTAAATATTCTTTACCTTGAGCACATTTTCACTTATATATATATATATATATATATATCTTTGTAATTATGCATATAATATGCGTGTGCGTGTATAAATCCAAAGAATATCATTCCAATGACTACTCTACTGAACATACACATAATTATTCGGAAGCTCCCTTTTCGTTGTCAAAATTTATATGTTGTTGTAAATCAAAACCAAGAAAACTGGTAAATTGGATTCAACACATCTTAGAATCCTACACCTTTAATCATCCACTACTTCAATTTAATCAAACCCAAACTTAAAATCCTCATAGTGTTTTACTACAATTTTTTTAATATTTAAACAGTAAATTTTGCTAATGACTTTATTGATGGCGATTTATAAATACCTATGTAAGTTTTGAACCTAAAAGCATGCTTTAACTCTAATAAATCCAAAACCCAGCTCATCTAAATTTTATTTTTATTAAAAAAAAGCAAAAAACGGTAATACTTACAGAAATATCAGTTATTATGTGGCAATTTCTTCTGCAAAATAAAAGTCATGACTGTTGTGTTCTTGCAGAAAATAAATCAATCATACAAATTTTTCATAAATTTCATTAAAATTCTATAAATTATCAACTTCATTATATTCATAGATAGATGTTGAAAATAGATAAACAAGTCGTATAATTCAAATAAAATTTAAAGAATCTTTGTACAACACGATTAAAAAAGATCTTTAAAAAAGATACATTCAAATTTAACCCAAATTAAAAGAGTGTATTTTTTTTTTATTATTTATAAGTATCTTCTTATTACTAGCAATCCTAATTGAGATATAGTTAAATATTAAATATAAGCATCGTTTTTAATAAAGTAAGGAAGATTTGAATATTAGCTGGTCACCAAATGAAAGTTTATATCTTGTTTAATAGAGCATGTGGCTGCAATTAGTTAAATCAAACATTATCTTGTGCTCCTTTTATCAAATGTAAGCAAAAAGTGAATTTTTGAGCACATATTGCCAGGCTTGATGACGCTAGCTTGTGTTTTAAATAAGGGCATGTTTAAAACATTGCTAAGTTGGTTAGTAGGTTAGGTGTTGAACTATAAATTAAATTTATATCTCGTGTAATGCACGAAAAATATTTTAATTTTTAAAAATAAAAATAAATATTAATATTAAAAATTATTTTAGCATTTTAAAGTAAAATATATTTCTTTTTCCTTTATTACAACTTAATTATAAATATTTTTTATTTAAAAATATATACAAATACCTCTTAAAATTAATAGTTAAGAGTTACAAAATATAAATATATATTCTACTTTTAAATTTTTATTTTCATTCATCTAATTATTAGGTGACAGTTAAGTCATATATATAAGGCATTTTTAATTGATTCTCACCAACAATAAAGTAGTTATTGTTTTCAACTAACATTATTTTTTTATATTTACTATTTAATTGAATGGTTTACTGTAAAATAAATATAAAGTAATTTATTTATTAGAGACACTTTTTGAAAATGATAATGATTGCAACTTTAAACCTTAAAAATATCTTATATTTTTAACATTC